GGGGAGAAAGGCCCGGCGCAGGCGGTGGAAGGGCGTCGCTGCCGGGTGTCTCCCCAGCCCTCGGGGCCCTGGGGCCTGCCCGCGTTACCTGACCGGCTCTGGAGCTGCGCTGCCTGCATCCAGTGAAGAAGGCTCCAGCGGTGGCTGCTTGGTGCTTGCTGTGGGTTATTGGGAAGCTTCCCAAGTGGGAATATTTCTGACTTGCCTGTCTGTGTAAGGCTAACCATTGGAAGGAAGGCCCTTAGTTTGTTTTTCAGCCCTGAGTCAGCTCTTCATGCTAATTGAAATTCGTTGGGCCAGTGCAAAAAACGAGGCCTCATCCTATTTCTTTTTAAAGTCTGAACTGTATAGGTTTTAGTTTTTGGTTCTTTGGATAGATTAAAGGGTTTTCATCTGAAGTGCTTCCTTTGGTAGGAAACTGCCTCTTACAGTTAGAAACTTGAAGCTTGCAACGTGGTGGTGATCCCTTCAGAGCCAAAACTGCATATATGCAATACTAGCATTTAGTAGGATTTATGCCAGGACATCAAATCCTTATTTATAGACTTTTTTCAGCATTGTCTGCAGAATTTCAGTTGCATTTGCATGCCCTACTTACACTTTTTAGTCTTTTGTCTGAATTTTACATTTTGTTTGGCTCATTGAGGGCACTTAAATTGGCATGCCAGTGCAGTTCATTTGATGTTTGTCATGTCAGTTGATAAAGACAATAAACTGCGTCTCCTGGAAAAGGTGGCACTCAGGAAGGATCTGTAATCCACAGTTATTCATCTATCCCAGAGTTCATTTTGGCCTCTGACACAGAATTGCAGCGGATTAGTTGCTTTCCTGGTGGCCGCTGCTTTCAGATGAGCCAGAAGGGGAGATCAAAGAGGAAGTGGGTGTGTACTACATAATACACACATTTGCATAGTAAATCCAGTGCTTCCTGGAAGGACTGATCGTATGACAGGAAAAGACTGCAGCTATCAGTGAAACTACTTTGCAGGTGAAATTACATGATCTGCTGCTGGAAAGATTGAGCTGATAAGGTTGCTCTTAGAGAATAGCAGGGAGTGTAGTTCCCTGATACTTAGGCTTGGATTTCAGATCTGACCTCTTGCCTATATTTTTGCTAGTTTGATGTGGATCTAACTTGAAATTCCACAAATTTTATGTAGTAACAGAAATCAAGTAGTTAAGGGAAGATTTTTTTTTTTTTAATATGCTATACTTCTCTTACTTTAAGAACTCTCAACATTGGTCTAGAATTCAATAAAATTAATATAAAATTGACATAAAATTAATTTTTTAACAGAATGTTTGCTTATGACAAGATGATATCATCAAATGATTTTAGTAGTACTGGCCAGAATCTAGCAATCTTGATCTGTTTTGGCATGTCAGATCCAGACAGAGACTACAGAGAATAGCTGAACGCAACTTGCATATGGGTCTGTGTCCTGTTGATGTTTCAGGTTCTTAACTTTGTTCTCCTATGCCTCATCTCACTGTTCTCTTACATAAAAACTCAAGAGACATGTAAATGCTTCCTAGAGTTGACTTTCAATAATGGTAGTTTCTGCAAACTTTTGAAAGGCCATGCTATAAAGTAATAAATAGGAAAATTCTTCATTGAATATTTGATGAAAATTTGTATTCAAGGCAGTTAGATTAAGCTGTGGCAAAGTATTATCTGTTTGAAGTTAAACCCTTTAACTTCCACATATTCTGTGTGGTGGGTTGACCTTGACTGGATGCCAAATTCCCACCGAGCTGCTCTTATCACTCACCTTCTCAGCAGGACAAGGGTGAGGGGGGGGGAAATAAGATGTAAGAAACTCGTGGGTCAAGATAAAGGCAGTTTAATAAGGCAAAAGCTGTGTGTGGAAGCAAAGAAAAACAAAAGATTTATTCTGTACTTTCCATTAGCAGGTGATGTCCAGCCACTTCCTGGGAAGACAGGCTTCAGTATGCGTAGCAGTTGCTCTGGAAGACAGATGTTGTAGTAACGAATGTCCCTCCCCCTTTAGCTTTTATTGCTGAGCAGATGTCGTATGGTGTGGAATATCCCTTTGGTCAGTTTAGGTCAGTTGTCCAAGCTGTGTCCCTCCCAAGAACTTGCCCACCCCCATCATGCTGGTGAGGGGAGAGTGTTGGAGAGGCAGCCTTGATGCTGTGGGATCACTGCAGCAGTAGCTGAAATGCTGGTGTGTTATCAACGCCCTTCTGGCCACCAACACAAAGCACAACACTGCGAGGGCTGCTGTGGGGAAAATTAGCTCTATCTCAGCCGGACAACTCAATACAGTCTGAAACGGTCCAGATGAGTTAAGAGGTGCCTTCTCCTCATAGCACAGGAGAGCCCTTAATATTCTTCTCTTGACTTAGTTAAAATTATTAGTGATAACATTAGAATTAATGGCTTAAAATTAGAGTAGAAATCGAGCTGGTTCTGAAAGCAGTCTCTAGCAGTTATGTAAATTATTAACTATTAATACTATCTATTTTGTTTGTAGATAAGGCAAATCCGATACTTACATAGAACAGCAGTGCGCAATTCCAGTGGAGGAGCCTTATTTGTGGTGAGTAATTTTCAACCTTACTGGAAGGGGGATGTGTAAGAAGAGTTTGGCATATGCTTTTTTAACCTGCCTAAAAGATTCTGATGGGCAGAACTTGCTATAGAAGCCTGCTGGAATATACAAAGAAGCATTTTTTCAGTAGGACTTTTTGTTACAGTGATGATGGAGTATCAAAAGGTTTTATTTTAGTTTTCGGCCTTGTGTTTCTTATGTTGTGAAAACTCTTGTTTATTAATAATAATGGTGATATTAGCAGTATTTGTGTGTGATTGCAGATGAGACTTTGAACTTACTTCATTATAAAACTTTTTTTAATTGAAGTTCATTGATTTTGTAATTAAAGCTTTTTGTAGGTGCAATTCCTTGGTTTCTAAAATTTCCTGCAGAATTACCCTTAGGTCCAGGTCTAGCTCTGTTCACTAGCAGTTGAAAAGTGCAGGTCTTGTTCATATGATATGTTATATAGCATGTTGCATAATGATTCACAATTGAGGCCATTAGGCATTGTTGTAATATGTATAAATAATAATAGTGATTGCAGAAAAAAAAAAGTGCCCTCACATTTAAATGAGTAAAGCAGGTGTGTTGTCTGTCTACCTGTGAAGAGAACCTGGAGCATCTCAGGTGTATTCTGTCCTGTTTTTCTCCATTCAGAGCTTTAGTCTGCAATTCAACAGCTGAATAATTTGGCGTTTTTCCAACATTTGGTAGAAATCAACACTTTAGCTACTAGAGAATTGACCACTTTGTTGAAAGCAGGTGCTCAGCATTTTTGGACAGATTTTGTTGCGTATTCAGGGAATAGAGGAAACAGTGTAGCATGACAATTTAGGAAACTTCAAGTGTAGTTTGAGGTTGATGAAGACAGGTGAAAGATGTCTTTGGCACCCTAATGGATGTTGGTGTCTAGCGTGTGAAGCTAGAGAGCTTTGTAAATTCTCTAGGCATTTTGCGAAATTTATGTAACTGCTTAAATTATTTGCTGACGAGAGGAGCCTGAAAGGGAAGTAGAAAAGGTGTGTTTGGTTGGCTACTTGTGATATCCAGCTGTTTCATTTAATAGCATCATTCACTCCTTTTATTTTTATTTCACAATAGAATTTTTGCCAGCAGAGCACAGGAAATTGTTTGTGTGGGAGTTTGTTTTACGTTGTGGGTTTTTTGTTTGTTTTACGTTGTGGGGTTTTTGTTTGTTTTTTATTTTTTTGATAGAGTAATATTTGTTGTTCTATGAAGTAAAAGGCTATGGGAAGAAGATAGTTGGATGTCATTGTGTGTGTTTGTCATTGTTTGCCCTAGCTACAATGAAAAACCTTCAGAGCAAATTTCAGATGCTATTTAACACATCAAATTTCAAGGGAAAGTTCCTGCT